AAATCTAATTGTTTTTCTTGGTCGACACTCCTAGTATTTAGGCTAGTCCTGGCTTGTCTTGAATGTCGAATCTGCTCTGTGCCCCACGAGCCCCGTGGCTGCTCAGTGGAATTGTGATGTCGCCAAGATCCGAGCTCGAATCCCGTCGGGGTTTGAAAATGCCTTCCTGTACGGCTGAAATGAGATTGACTTTTGCAAGGTAGTGCTTAAAGAAGTTTATTGTCATCCTGCGCCCGAATTGTCTGTTTGTGAGAAAACCAGTCTATCAGTTTTGAACTCATCTTTAGCGACCTAGACTGATTAAGTTGTCATGTAAGAAGCAGCGATCGTTTCCAAAGCTGGCGACCTCAAAATTCGGGAATCTCCACGCCCGAATGTACATCTGACAGTGAGAACGAACCGGCAGTCTGTAGGTGGACAGGTCAGGCTGTGAAGCCATTCGTCACAACTCCTCGGTCCCGTGTGAATGAGGATGAAATGAGGCAAGAAGAGACAAGACTGTGAGTGTGTACGCCCGAGTGTCTGGTTGGCCTGACGAGCTGGACAGCTCTTTTGGACGAATGTGAATGTGGTGAGACGTATCGCTGAGCTGACCGGCCGAATCGGTGGCTCAACAGCCTCTCTCTCTCTCTCTCTCCTTCAGTCTATCAATCAAGCATAAGTAGTGCTTACTCAACTTCCTACCTTCAGGCGTTGCAGCCGCCGGTCTGGTCAGTCATCATCACGGCCCGACAGCCTCTTCTCTGCCTCCGCGAAGCGTCACCTCTGGCTACTTGGCGCTACATGCTGGCGCCATGTCGCCGCCCGGCACGGCAATGCTTGTGGATGCGCCCCTTCAACAGACCCATTCGCCGGCCGGGCCTCGAAGTGTCCAGTCGACCGGTTCCGAGTCAGTCGACTCCGAGTCGCCAACACTGCCGCATCTCTGCCGATCGGCTGCCGGGTCGACCGGTACCTCCGCCAACCCGGCCGGCGGTGTTGCCGGCGCCACGATGCGTCGCTCGGCGAGCCATCCCGCCCCCGTCAGCCTCCATCTCACACCGCAGCACCAACATCCCACGCCTCCACCACCCGCCTCTCCACATCCACACCCGCATCAACACCAACACCAGCATCAGCGACAGACGCAACCGCATCACC